ATAATAAAATTAATAAATCCAAAAAACGTATTTATATAAAGATCCAACGTCCTTTCTTCCGTGTGTGTTTTTGAAATTGTAGAGTTAAAAACGCCCGTTATGCTTTTTATTATAGCCGTGAAGTTTAATTGAACTTCCTAACCTCCAAACAGTACTAACACAAATTTAAACCAGAATTATAAATAAAAAAGTTAGAAATCATAATATTACCTGAAGAAATTGTAATAATCATTGTAAAAATTAAAAATTTGCAATAATGATATTAACATAAAGATAAAATTTGAGGTTAGAAAACCAATCAATATATTTTTTACTTTTAATATTCTAAGTACATATTTCATGTTTGTTGGCTTAATATTAAATATTCTTAAATTGATAATATTATGTTAATATTTACCTTCTGATAAAGAAGATGAGTGATTTAAGTCATCTAAATTGTCAATATCCATAACTTGCTCTTGAACATATTGCATTCTATTTAATTCAACGCGTACGGATTTTACCTCAAGATATTGTTTGCTACGCATTCGCGATTGCTTTTTTTTCCTCTCATTTTTTTCCATTATTAATTAACAAAAGAACAATAAAATTCAGGTTCACACAAAATGACATGTGCACTTGCACCATTCATGTCATCATTCTCAACGATGAAACATCGATATATTGAAAACTTCGATACATCGATTTCGATATTTTCGATTTAAATTTAAATATTATTTTTAAATTAAATAAAAAGTGAAACTATATATAATAATGTAATTTATCAATAATATTATTTCGATTCTATCACTCGGTGTTATTTAATAATAAATTTAATTTAATTAATAATTTTATTATTATTAATATTTATTCATTTTATTATTATTTCTAAAACGAACATTTTAAAAATATTTGTGTCCCTTATTGAACATAATTAAATTCATATTTTAAATAAAGAAAACATCGAAAAATAATTTAAGTCCGATTCGAGGTATTTCTGGCTAGAGTTTAGTAAGGGCTTAATCAGATTTTTCTAGTTTGAATTGCCTTTCTAGAATTCAAACGGGATCTCAGGAGATATTTCTAGTCTGAATTTCTCACAAGAATCTAATCAGGTTCGAGTACGACTTTTCTAGGCTACTCTCTAAATTTGAATCAGCGGAATCTCGCTGATTCTCAGCTATAAGTATACCACTGATTCCAATCAGCTTATATGCACTGAATCACTGATGAATTAGTGGAATTTCACTGATTTTTCAGCGTATTTCCGCTGATTGGTACCAGTGGTATACTTATCGCTGATTCAAATTTAGAGAGTAGATTTTCTAGCGCGGTTCTAGTCGGAATTTATTATCACGTTGGGAAGCTTAGGGACATTTCTACACGGGAAATTACTATGTGCAATTTACAGTAAAACGTCTAAAATGTGCCACCCTTTTCGGGTGAGTTTTTTAAAGGCGTTAAAATAATGTTACTTAATTTTCACTAAAGCAGGGTGCGATAGTTGACGAGAATTATTACAAATGGCAAAAGCCAAGTACATTTGGACTTGCACTTGTACTTGGCTTTTGCACCTATTCTGGAACCGCCTTGATACCACTTAAACTTTGTTTACATTCAACCCTTTTTGCTTTCAATAATGAGAGAGAAAGGCAGACACATACATTCATTCTTGTTATACTCATTGTTCAACGAAAAACGCAAGCATTTGTAAACATATAACCTTATGATTTTCAAAACGTTGTAAGTCGATATCTTTAAAGTCTGATACCTTTAGAAAAACTTGTGGCAGGGAATTTCTAATTTTATTTATTTGAATTATAAAGACCTATTAATAGAAATCTCGATAAACGAAAATTGAAAAATTTCGAAAGTTTTAAATTGTTTATCGAAGTAAAGATTCTTCTCGGACAATAAAGCCGTGGAGTCATTTTGTTGATGGAATAAAGTTGAGAAGCTAAAAAGCCAGAAGTTTGGTGGTCAATTTATCGGAAAAGAGGATCGAAAGGAAGGTTGAAATTAATTGAAGAAAGAATGAAGAAGGGAAGTAAAAAAAGGGATAGAGGAACATTGTATGAAGTCTTTCCTATACATGGTTTCTTTACGAGATGCTATATAGGCGTCGCGACGGAACGAAGTGTGTGTTATGGACGATACACGCGGACGCTGTGCGCGGTGGGTTAACCAAGATTTACATTTTTCCAGGGAAATAGGTTTTGCGATAAAAGGATTTGGAATAAATTTCAGCTAGGTGGTACGTTGGACATTTTGATTTAGTAGTCGTTTGAGAGTTGGCAAGCTCTTTGGATCTCGGCCAACATTTTTATGTTATTCTCTACTCTTTCCCCCCCCCACCCCTATGCGATCCTCCAGCAACGAATCGACGATCTCGTTGCTGTGGCTTAAACGCATTGATGGGATCAAAAAGTCAATCCACGACTCTCTGCATAGGAATCTACTAAAATCAACTCATACCCACAGATAACTATGATAACATTACTGTATACAAAATGTAATGCAAGAGCGTGTATATGAAAGTTTCTCTCTTTTTGAATTAATATTGATTCAAAGTGTAGTTTTCTTTTAATAGCATACCGATAATTTAAAATATACGAAATATTTTTAAAGCATTCCAAATGAGAAAAGATAATTTAAAAGAAAAAATTCTACATATTCACGACATCGAAGACGCCAAGTTTCACGGAAGCTGTCAACTGTGTTCTATATTTAAAAATGATTATGTAACCGTGACCATGATGAAAAAATGACTCGAGCTGAATAATGAAACAAAATTAAAAAAAATTCGCAGCTTTTCTTTTTCAGTAACAAAAATTATGTTTTTAAGTTCAAAACTGATATAATATATAAATGTTTTTTTTTATTAAAGAAAAATTCTATATCATGTAAGGTTATAAACGTCAGGAAAAATAATGTTATTTTTCACTGAAAAACGGGTAACTAGGGCGTTGTGATCGGAAACGAATTTTCTGATATTCTGAACACTTGAATCTATATTATAGATATATTGAAGCACAATAATAAGGAACAAGATAAATTTCTTTTGCGAAAAACTTTAGAGGAAAATAATAATGAATAAAAAGAAAAAAATATTATTATTATTAATATTAGGTTTAAAATACAAAACGTATAAAAAAGGCGTCAAGTTCCTTTTATGAAATTTTACTTTTTAGCACATTTTCAAAGATTTGAAAATACTTATATAAAATTTGATATTTATTTGATTTCCGTGCTGTATGTTCAAGAAAAAAGTGAATTCCATAAAACCAAATGGAAGATTTTAAAAATTATGAATTGAATCAAAAATTGATAGTGACAAACTGAAAAATAGTAACAATCCAACGGCTTTCAAAGCTGAGAAAACTTTTTATTGTCTTGAAAAAAAGTTCAAAGCAATGACGCAATAAATTTAACAACTGCTACGAATCATGTAAATATAACAATGAGATCGGAGAATATAGACATTTTTATACTACATGGCATTCTCTATATACACGTATATATGATAAAATAATTCACCATTTTAAAAGCGTATCAAAACTTGTTTGTGGCGAAAAGTATGCAACTTTTCTGTATGTGGCGGTGGTATAGAATTCAAGCTAGCTGATGTGGAAATTACATCTGGGCGCCAGTGATACTGTGGTCACAGAGTCCGACTTAAAGTTGGGCGTTAGTTTTGCTTCAGATGCACTGAACCTGTGTAGTATCTTACTGTAGATTTAATATTCCAACCCTGAGCCAAACGCAAGGCAGTGGATAAGCCCTAAGGGCAGTGTTGCTCATTTACGCGTAATTCGAAGTTTATCCCTAGTTAAAATTTTGGACTGATTTCAGATTAAATACAGACATATCAGTCCGGATTAATCCAAAAATTGTACGAAAACAATCCGAAAATTATCCTTATTAGTCAGCAATCAGTTTGGATGAAAAGATAAATCCGATTTTACTCCGGATTAGTTAGAAATTGACAAAATAAATTCGCAATTATCCCGCAAAAATTTGATTTTACTTAGATTAAAAAACAATCCAAAACGTGTCCACAATAATCCAAAACTTGTAATAAGGTTGGATTCCATTGTCCCCACTAGTCATAATTCTCGTCAACTACCGCACCCTGCTCTAGTGAAAATTTAGTAACTTTATAGTAACTTTTAATTTTAATAATAAAGTCACTAAATTTTTACTAGAACAGGGTTGCGGTAGTTGACGACAATTATGGCGAGTGGGGTCAATGGAAACCAAACCATAAGGCCTAAACAGAATACCTTAGTGAATGTTAATCATGCATTAGAAAAAGGACAGAAATATATTTATATATATTTTTCTATCTTATGCATCTCGTTCGCGAATCTATTGTTTTATTTTTCTTATTATTATTATTTGTTTTATTTTATTTATTGTTATATAATTTTCACTGGGCAAAAATTCTGCTAAATCAATTTTTTAGGAGACAAAATTGATAATTTACGAAAAAATTTGTACATATAGAATCTCTTTTTATAGAGTCGAATTTATACGTAAGGTAATTTCCATCAAATTTTTTATATTGTATTTTTATTAAATCGAAATTCCATTTTGACAGAATTCAATTTACTCGCGAATATTTTATGTAATAAGAATGAGGCTAAAAAATATTTTTATATAAAATATTTTGGGGGTAGTAAAATATTTGAGATTTTATCATATCGTTAACTATATAGTTATTTTGTATCTAATATATTTGCTAATATTTTAAATAATGTTAATGAGAAAAATAAAAAAAAATTGTAAATAAAAGCTTTTCTCTCAAATATTTATTCGGCTATTTACAATTTCGGTCAAATGAAAATTTGGTGATTTGATAATTCTCTCAAATGACAATTCGTACAAATAAAACATACAAATAAACTTTCGATGAAATGGAAATTTTGTTATTTAAAAATTCGATTAAGTAAAATGTATGTGCATTTAATTATATGGATGTAAAAATTAATATTATTAAATGTTTTATTATTATTACTCACTCTGTTGAAATTAGTTATATGACCGCAATTAAGTGACATACCTGAAACAAAAGAAAACGTCGCAAAATTAATTAAATATATAGGCATATATTCAAATAAATATGGATTTTTCAAACTATAAATAAAACATTTAAAATGATTTCAGAAATGTTATTAAAAATCTGAAAATAATGAAAAATAAAATATAATTTATTTGAAATGTATTTAAAATATTTTGACCACGAGGATGAAATGAAAGATGGAAGGGGAGTATTTCGCGTGACGTCACTGCCACTCAAAACTACTGGAGTTGTAAAGCTACTATTTTTAAAAATTTTAATGGTCGCTTTATGACTTCAACAGTACTTGACGACATCGGAAGATTTCGTATGACACGAGCATTTTCGACAAAAAGTAAACGAAGTAAACAAAGCGATCTTTCTAAATAAATACCGATGAAGTTCAAAAAGTGAAGCAATAAGTAAGATTAAAATCAAAAAGTGACAAAATTGATAATTATCGTCTAGTAGTATAATTGGAAAATTTTTGTAAAATCAGGCATTAAAAAATTTTGTAGGTTAAAAAATACTTTTTCTTTTATTTATTTGTAAGTTAATGAATCTAATTTAACTGTGCTGTCAAAATATTACGTAATCACAGAAAAAAAGGTGGGTAAAAAGTTGTAAAGATATAGAGGATAAAAGTCGTTCGGATACAGGGTAAAGGATAAATTTGTGATGGATAAAAATGTTACTAAAATATTACTAGAAAAATGGATGTCATATTTGAGTAAACTGTCTAATTTTAATAAAAATATTAGTAATTTTACACTTAACTTATTAAATCCACAAATTTTATATAAATAAGTAATTACACGTGGAAATATTTTTCCTATAATTATTGTTTATTAATAAAAATGTCTTTGACTAATACAACTGACAGCTGACGACAGTACGTAAATAATCAGAACTGGGAAATTACAACTCAACGTCTGTATTGTTGTACGAAAGCAGAGTTGGGTAATAACTGAAATTTTTGTGCATATTAGGCTGTGTCAGTTCATCGAGATATTTCGAGTTCAAGATATAACGTCAGAGGCCTGGAGAGACAACAAACAGACGACACAATGTTATTCTTACGGGGAAGAAAATTTGTTTCCACTTTCATCAATTTTATTCATACTTTAAACACGGAAAACGCTTGTTGACATCTAATAACATTAAAATGTGTGTTGATAATTAATTTTGTTATATATTTGATTCAATTGCATTGATATGACTGCGGATAACCCCTTAACAAAAAGCCGATACTAAATGTAGTAAAGTTCATAAATACATAAAAAATTGATTTTCCAATAGTTTTTAATTTAATTCAAGTTACAAACACAAATTATTCTCAATTGATTCTATTATTTTTTTTATTTTGGATATACAGTAGTTCCTCAAAGGGAACAAACGGATAAGGTTCGAGGTGAAACTGACTCGAGGATGGTTATAAAGGTTAACCATTGAAATAGAACAAAGATGAGGGAATTCAGATAACAGAAGTGAGATGTGGGTTTACGACTATACTTTGAGGATATTCGTGGCCTCGGTGTTTAGAAACACTCGTCCACCTTTCTCGAGTAGGTAACTGAGATGAGGCAAAAACAGAGAGAGAGAGAGAGAAAGACTCAGGCCAATATATATAGGTAGCAACTAGTACAAGTGAAAAAAAGAAAATAAAATAACTATAAGAAAGAAAAAAATAGTAAACGAAACGTTTTAAGTTCAATTTAATTAAAAATTTTAAGAAGAAAAAAGAAACTGTAGAGAATGAGAGTATAAAAAGAACGTGCGCCAAGAAAAATTCTTTTAATTCAAAGAAAAACTGTATCTTCGCCTTTTTTATTTATTGTAAACAAAATAAGGTTCGGTATATATTAAAAAAATATTTTTTTGTAATTCCGGGGTCCCATCTATTTTAGGGTGCAAAAAAAGTCAAAGAAGTAAATCTTTATATTGTGAAGTTGTAAAATTCTTATTAATTTTACAATTCACAATTTTTTTTTTATTTTTTAAATTTTATTAAATAAATTTTATTTATTCAGTTTTTATAAATTTTATTAAATATTTGGAGGTTACAGCGGAAATTCCAAGATTGATTTAGTTTAGTAAATTTTAGATTTGATTATTAAATTTGTAAACTTATGTAAACTTCGTTTCTTGACTCCTAATTCCTGTTCAATGAGTTATCAAGGGAAAATATAATTTTATTCTAAGGCTGATTAGAACTCCTATTATCATTTGGAAAATAATTATCTATCGAGGTTCAACAAAATATTTCAAATCCTACCGCCCATTATGATGTGTTATCCGTCGACCAATCATAAGATCGAAAACCTATTCCATATTCCTAAAAATCCGTGGCCAAAGGATATTTGTTATTTATTATGTTTTATTACGAGACTGCTGCCTTTCTGTGTTAATATATTTTGGAATTGTATGAAAATTATATACGTTTTGAAAATCATAAGGTTATATGTTTACAAATGCTTGCGTTTTTCGTTGAACAATGAGTATAACAAGAATGAATGTATGTGTCTGCCTTTCTCTCTCATTATTGAAAGCAAAAAGTGTTGAATGTAAACAAAGTTTAAGTGGTATCAAGGCGGTTCCAGAATAGGTGCAAAAGCCAAGTACAAGTGCAAGTCCAAATGTACTTGGCTTTTGCCATTTGTAATAATTCTCGTCAACTACCGCACCCTGCTCTAGTGAAAATTAAGTAACATTATAGACCTTTTCATGCTGATCATTTTGTCCTCTTCCAACTCATGCGTCATTGTATGCGCTAGATAAGGACAGAACGATCAGCATGAAAAGGTCTATTTTAACGCCTTTAAAAAACTCACCCGAAAAGGGTGTCACATTTTAGACGTTTTACTGTAAATTGCAAATAGTAATTTACATTCCGAACTCTGGTGACTGATAAGTTGGTTTCCGTTGTCACCACTCGCCATTTCTCATAATGCTCGTCTACTATCGCATCCTGCTCTAGTAAAAATTCAGTAACTTTATAGTAACTTTTAATTTTAACAATAAAGTCACTAAATTTTTACTAGAGCATGGTATTTGACGAGAATTATGACAAATGGCGAGTAGGGACAATGAAAACCAACCCTGAGGCCCATTTAAATTGTCATACGAATCTGGCAAGAATTTTGTATACTTTTTGGATTTAGTCCCGTTGTGTTTTGTGTCATAGTCTTGACAGATTAATGTGTGACGCGCTCTGAAGAAAGGAACGTTAGAAAAAAAAATTATAGGTTATATTATAAAATTTCAAATATACACAGAGGGTCAATTTTCAATATAAATTATTGCTACTTAAGTCTTTATTGCATCCAAAATATCCAATAATAACTGATTTTTATTTTATATAAATAAAAAAAACTTTTAATCGAGGTAAAATTATCGTAAACATAACTTATAATTCGTTTGCTTCTAAGGTCCCTTTCTTCAGAGCGCGTCACATGTGTTAGAAGATAATGAAGGAGAGCCTTTTGAGTTCTTAATTATATTTATATAACATCTGGATTAAATAATAATTTATTATTATCAAGGAATGAAAAGTGTCCCAAAAATACCCTTACAATACGTTCCTGAATCAACATACGAAAATTATGTTTCGTAGCAGAAGACAAAAAAAGGCCGGTACATGGCAACTTGGCAACCAAATAACAAAAATCTTTTTATCGGTCTCTTTTGTCGGCAACCTTCTAAGAAAAAACATCTCATAATATTCAAAATTAATATTTTTTATATAAAAGTGATTATTCTAATTGATTATTTTAAAGTGTCTTCTTGTGTTTATTTCGAACATTTGTGATTAGTGAGAATCTTTTCTTTTAAAAATCAGCAGAAAGGAGAAAATTCATATTAATTTAATTTTTGACATTATTAAAATTGATTGAAATTTTATTATTTAAATTTTATTTATTGAAATTGATTTCCTTCTTCTGAATTTCTCTTATTAATTTAATATTTGTGATTTATTTCGACATGTTTTGATTATATATTTCCCCATTATTTAATGTGTTTTTATTTAAACTTTATTATTGAACCTTTTTCCCTATTAATATTTGTTAACATTATGACAATTATTAATTTGCCCATTTTATGTGTTTTGACCATTCCCTAAAGATTATTTTTTAAATGATTTTCTAATTTCTCGATTTTTTTTATTATATAATCGATCTTGGAATTCCGTGACAAGAGAGCACAAATGTAACGTTTATCGTTTATCGTTTGTTCTGTCCATTTTGTATTTTTCATCAATTTTGAAAATTGTGTTTTAAATCAAATATGTTTAATTAAATTAAAATTTATCTTTTATAATTTTGGTGAATTTATGTTGTTGATTTAAATTATTTTTTTTTTTTTTTTTTGACAATTCTTGTAAAATCGTTTATTCTTTAAAATTGTTAAAAAGGGTTACATTATTTAATTAATACAATATAAATTTAAATCTGGTAAAATTTAATTTAATAAATTTAATTTTATAATCATTCTTTAAACTTATTTAAATTGAAATAATTGAGTAATATTATTAAAACTTAATAATTTGACAAAAAATTTTAGACAATTTAAAATTTTTTTTGGTTTGAAAAACAATTATGTTTTGGAAGAGCTACAATTTAAATTTAGAAAACCTTTTTTTAATTTGACAAAATTTCTTTTACTCTAACCTTAAGATTTTTCTTGGGTAGTATATGATTTGATTTAATTGCAGCAAATTCGACTATTTCCAATACAAAAATCGCTTTAAATAACACGATTTCTCTGATAAACAGAATGAAATTGGATTCCTGGCTGCCAATAAAAAAAACTCCTAGATAGCCTTTTTGAAAACTGGATCAAGTAAATTATCAGTAAAGTGTTTCAAATTAGTTTTAAATTATATAGAAAAAATTTTAGCTATGGAAGATTATAGGTACCCAAAAATCTGTTTCTTACAACTGAAAAAAATAGCAAAGAAAAAAGATATAAAATTATATAAATTTAACTGGTATATGCAAGTGGAA